CCCTTCACCTCTCGCCCGCGCGTCGCTATGCGGGCACCGTCCGCCGCGCCCCGCCCGGCCGCCGGCGGGGGGGGAGGGAGAGGGGGGGGGGGCACGCCCCGACATCACCCCAAGAAGTACAGTAGCCCTCTTGAAACACGGAGAGCGGGCGGGCAGGTGGGTGGGGTAGCTGTGTGGAAGAAGAAATAAGGCATTGCTGGTAGATTTGCGCCCTCCTACAAACTGGCAATTTTTGCACTAAATTTAAAAATAGTTTAAAAGGATGACGTTGTTTACCATAATTTACCATAAAGAAAATATATAGTTCATGGAGTAAACTAATTTTTTTTTTTGGATCTGACACATTCGAACAAACTGGTGAAGCACATGGGCTGGATTCCCACAACACACTAGACCAGTGTTTTTCAAACTTAGCAATGCTGGCTGGGGAATTCTAGGAGTTGAAGTCCACATATCTTAAAGTTGCCAAGTTTGAAAAACAATGGTTAATTTATGATCCAATATGTTGGGCAACTGAGTAAAAATCAATAAATCATGGCTTACTTACTAGGCAGCATGAATCCAACTATCAGCAGGTACAGAGGAAAAGACAAGCAGAAGAGAACTGTCATGCTTGGCAACACCATGCAGGGTAGAAGAAACCAGCACCCCCAAATCAGAAGGAGCTATATACCCCTCCACCCAACACACATATGCACACATTCCTCTAACCTAACTTGGAGGAGACATCCTGCCCAGATTATTTCATCTTTTAAAGGGATAACAAATCCATGTCTCCCTGCACACCTCTTAATGAATATAATCAGAAGAGATTTCACCAGTTGTATACAAACTTCTATGCCCCCCACCCAACTAAAATGCAATACATGAGAGGATCCATTTTCAAGGTTGACTCTAAATACAGATGTTGAACCCCACTGAGTCTAGCACAAATTCAGCCACAGAGGTAAGATTTTCATTCATATACCTTGGCACATTGAATTTTAGAAATGGATTTTGTCCATACATGGAAGCAGCACCATCTTGAGGCCAAAGATATTTATCTTCCAGCTGTGATGTATATTTATCTGGATTTCAGAGCAATTTATCATAATAGTCACGGGAAAACAAAGGATGACAACCATGGACTATTAGAAGGATGCAAACAAGGGAGCACAAGCTTTCAATGTCAAGCAAGAAATGACAAGGCAAAATATCTCAAAAGTATGTCAACAAATAGAGGAAAATAATAAAATAAGGAGATATGTTTTCAAAAGATCAGAAAAATCACAGGAAAATGAAACTAAGATTATCCAAGAGAAATAATGTAAAGAGTTCTAAGAGAGGCAAGTGTTAGAAGAAAATAGAAAACTATCCCCAAACTCTTTGCAAGTAGAATTATAGAATCACAGAAACATTTGTAGAAAAAAGCATCAAGGCACCAGTTCCAAGAGAAAGAGAGGTACAAGAGGCAATAAATCAACTGCCATGTAGGAAAGCAGAGGGCACAGATGAAATATTACTGAATTGTTTAAAGCTTCACAAGAAGAAGCACTCAACAGGTTAAAAACTCTGTGTCAACAAACATGGAAGAAGACTGTTCATCTAAGAGGCTGGAAAAGAGCAGTATATATATATACAGGGTGTACCAAAAGTCAGGCCCCATAGGCTAATCACAGTAAGTTTTATTAATTTTATTTATTTCAGAGAAAATGATACTGTACTTAAGATTGTTCAGAGGTCATGAGTCAAATGAGTAAGGAAGTGTTTAGAAGAAGATGACAGCCAATTTGAAAATTGTCTATGAGACCTGATTTTTGGTACACCCTGTATATGCCAATACCAAAGTAGGGAGATTTAAGAATATACCAAACCTTGCGCTATTTCCTCATACAATATACGGCATATATGTAAAGTGCAATGCCAAACGCACAATAAGCAGATTTCAGAAAAGTTTGAGAGGCACAAAATCAGACAGCTAATATACCTGTAGATGCTGAAAAGAGCAAGAGAAGAGAATTTGCTTTTTTGACTATGGCAAAGCCTTTGATTGTACAGATGATGCCACAATATGAAACATAATATGACTAATTGGTGTGCCAGAACATCTTTATAGCAGTCAATAAGCTACTGTATGGATAAATGAAGTGTTTCACAATAGGGAAGGGAATGAGACAACAATCCATATTGTCGATATTGCCTCTGTATTTAACTAGTATGATGAATATATTACAAGAATGGCAGGATTTGAAGAAATGACATCTAGAATCAAAATCAGAAGTCAAGATACTAATGATCAGGAATATGAAGACAATACCATGTTGTTCACTGAAAATAAAGACATAATAGAGCTTATTATGAAACTAAAAATGAAAAATGGGTTATTATTCAGTATTAAGAAGACAAACCTGTAAGATGCTGATGATCAAAGCTGATGATGAAGAAATAGAGATGGTAGATAATGTTGCTTGCTGGGCTTAAGAAGATAGACAAATAGCATGCTGAAGAAATAAAGAGGAGAAAACAGTGACAGGATTCATCTCCTTACCTTTCCAATGTATTTAGTCTCCCTTCATGTATCTGTTCTGCAATTTAGTCCTCATTCATTATCCCTGTATAACCAAACCAATATACTTTTTTTTATACTGATCAATGACTTTTGTATCCGATCAACACTCATTCAGCATCCATTCATTTTTTAACTAATTTAAAAAAATATATTGGCTGGCCCTGACCACAAGAAAGTTGTACAGCTCTAACAGATTTATATTTGAATCATTTGCCAGTGGAGGTGGTGCTGAGAATTTTTATTGCTTTCTGAGAAGCATTCCAATAGCATCTAATATGCTTGAGTCTTTAGAAAAATATTATTTAGATTGCATGAATATTTGTCTTTATGTAACAAAAAAATCATAGTTATGTATCATCTTTTGAAGAGGACTGAAGGTCTAAGGCTTGAAAAAATATGAAGAACAGCATAATAAATTGTAAGTGCTTGCAAAATAATAATGAAGAACAGGGAGCATGGTGAAAGAAAAATATTTTGCCCATCAGTTATTTATCATGCAGAGTTGGTGTTTTATTGGTTTGGATCGGACTTTTCTGCAAAATTAGCACAAAAAATAAAACACAGAGAAACATGTTTAAAATATTTAAAGGGAATTGCAGCTTCCTAGAATGTAATAAACTGAGTAAAATTGACCACATTTTAAGGTAAAGGTAGAAAATAAATAGGAGGAGGTCAATACATATAATAATTTGTAGACTGTTCTGAGACTTTGGAAATGAATCAGTATATAAACATTTGAATAAATAAATGGATGGTATTAGGTTGTTTTTTTTTAAGTGTTTTCAACATTCTGATAAATATTTCAGCTATGGTTAAATCACAGTTCTTTTCTAACTACACTCATTCTTTTCCCTGAGCCAGATCTCTGAGATTTCATCGTAAAGCAAAATCTTTAAAGTTTATGTCATGTCTGCCACTCTCAACAAATTTCTTATTATTAGGAATCATGATTTACTTTGCAGAAGAATAACCTCCCCCAAGTATGTATATTTAAAGTTTTCGGTATCTTTGCTGCCAGATATAGTAGCCCTATTCTCTTTTCCTTTCTACACACACACACACACACACACACAGCCTTCTCTTTTCTTGGTTTAAGTAACCTCCTTCTCTGCTTCTTCAGCACTTAGTATATCACCCACTTTCCCTTTTCATGGGATATGTCCCCAGAACATCAGAATAACCCATAACCATATCAATGCCCACTAGGCCCTACTTAAAGATTTAAACAAGAAATATTAATTTGTGACTATGCTAGAATAGCTCATGGAACTCTTTTTCACCACTTTCAGTATTTCTGCCCACCTACAATATGCAGTCAGCCTGCTCTGACTCAACAATATGTTTCCTGCGAGAATCAGTAGTAGACACTGTTTTTAGTTCCTCCTATTCCATCATCCTGGGACTGAGATGTCCCCATGGATTTCTGTCCTATGATTTCTTCACGATGTTGTGGCTTCAATTCATATATTTCAGAGATGATAAAATCAGGGCCAGTACAATACAATTCCTGGGCAATAGCTGATACATATCAGTCTCTCTCTTGACTTTGTACCCCCTTTAAGCCTCCTCATTGATACTCTTGCCCAGTTACTACTAAAAGCATCGTGCAGTTATAAATTTTAGTTCAGCTACCACTGCAAGGTTGCAAAATACAGATGGCAGAAAAGAGATACAGAACACCAGCCGTTTTGTGCCACTTAGTTGTCCTCTGGAGTTTTGTAGCCAAAATAAAGTAGCCCCCGAGTTCAGATGCTTCTATTTTATCTGATGTAATATATAAATATCTTTGCTTGGCATTCAGCATGAATTTACAAACAAGGCTCAAAACATCCAACTTGGTAACACTTCTATCTTGCTTTTGCTAAACAAATGAAACTAGTACAGTACTTGTCTTGATAAGCCATCCACGTGGCCTAAAAAAGTGATCCCATGTGATTTTTACCTCTTACACTCTCCTGCAGTGACTTACAAGCTCTTCTGACAAGCTTTTTTGCCTCACGTTGACAGGTGCTGCAGCATCTCTGCACATCTTTATCTTATAAGTAATTCATGAGGTCGGCATACGTTCGGTTTACAAGGAACATGCGCGAAACCACATCTGCGTGCGTGCATCTCGAGTGCACCCAAGAACCGACCCATTAAATGGAGAAAATGAAGATCTTCCCCAGGAGGAGGCGCTGGCGAGCACATTTCATGGGTAAAGTTGTACTGGCACAGAACAAAACACACGGTGAGACACAAGACAATAAAGCGAGGACGGTAGCATCCAGACGGGGATCTGCTTCCGTTGATTGGCCGCGGCGAAAGGCGTAATCTTCGTGGCGGTGCGATGATTTGCTGAATCTCGCTTCACCGTGATTCAGGCAATATGGGCAGGACTCAGAAGGTCAAAATCTAAGCAGCTGCTATTGCAACGATCAAGAAGTTGGCAAACGCGATGCCCGGGCAGAGGAGGGAGTGAGCGGAGCACTCTGTGCAGCCGAGTACGAGGTAGGGCTGGTGAAGGGGGAAAGGGGATCATAGTTGAGAAGCGGATTTGGGAATCCCCAGACGGGCATTAGGTGCCGGAGATACGGTCCTTGCGGCAAGCTGGTGCTCGCCCGGTAGAGATCTTTGTGGCAGGCCGAGAGAGACGGAAGTAAAGGCCGGGGCTTCCACGTTGACACAGAAACAAAGGAATCATGAAGTGCAGCAACAAAAAGCGACTGCGGGCCAGCCGGTGCATAAGGAAAAGGGGATCAGGAGAGGGCGCCGGAGGTTTGTGATCAGTATTGACACAGGCATACTCCGGTTTTAAAATGCAGAGACCTGACCTCAAATCAATGTTTCTAACCTTAGCGACTTGAAGATGTGTGGGCTCTGGGAGTTGAAGTCCACACATCTTCAAGTTACCAAGGTTGAGACACACTGCCTTAAATTATCACAAATGGAGGAGTATGTTGACATGGTGTGCAGGCTGGCAGAAGAGCAAAAATTTCTGAGTAAGTTGGTATGTGGGAGGAATGGGAGATCAGATCCTTGTTTTGGAATCAGGGGGAGAGGACACTTATGGTCGGTACAAATGTTCATCTGAGTTAGGAAGGTAAAGAACACTCCAGGCAACGCTGTGGCACGGGTGGGGAGGTAAGCATTGGACAAGGAGGTTGGGAGTGTCTTACAAGGAAATAATGGAAGAGGATGTCAGAGTTGGACATGGAGGACTGGAGCATGGGTTGCATCGATAAGGCAAGCAAGGGGCATCATCTTAGCTCTGAGAACAAAAATCATGTGATGTGACTTCAGGGATGCAGAAAGTGCTATTTAGGCAAGAAGGAGCCTGTAGCAATGCTTGGCACATATCGAGTGTAATAGTCCACTGGCACTGCCTGAGTGATCTGGGTTGAGGAAACGCTCACCTGTCTCTTGGCATCAGTGGGATATGTACTCCCAGTGCAAACATCAGGATCAGCTGCAGGTAGATCTATGGCAGAAAGTGGTCAATAGCTATTTGGCACTGTGATTATACATCACCTTCAGTGAAAGGCCCATTGCCAGTTGCTGGGGGATGTGAACTGGAATGAGCTATTGCACAGCTGCCCCTTGTGTTTGCTTCTCATAGGCACCTGGCTGGTCAGTTAGGGAAACACAGTGCAGGACTTGAAAGGGTTTTGATCTGATCTGGGGGGGTTCTTGTATTTCTAAATACTGACTTCAGAGCAAAGCCTCAACCCAATATTCCCTCCTGGGTTTCCCATGTCAAAGCCTAACACATTTGTCATGTTGGCGGTATATGTGCTGGGATAAGAAGTTTCTGGCAGGAGCAGAGGCTCACATTGCCTGTGAGCGCCATCCTACACACAATTCCTCTAAAGCAGTGTTTCTCAACCATAGCAACTTTAGGAAGTGTGGACTTTAACTGGCTGGGAAATTCTGGGAGTTGAAGTCCACCCATCTTAAAGTTGCTGAGGTTGAGGAACCCTGCTCTAAAGCATTGTGAAACTGGCTATGGTCATTCATTCTGATCTTTGAAAACTTAGGGCAAGCAAGAAACAACACAGGCCAATCAGTGCTTTACAGGTCAATCAGCACTTTGACCAATAGAAGAGTGCAGAAGTAGTCATTCCTTCAGTGTTGCACTTGCTCAGGAGTAGCAGCAGCAGCTCCTAGAGTAATACCCATTCTAAATAAAAAGTAGAAAAAAATGGCTATCACCATCCACCCCATTTGTTTTTGGATTTGTTGTCTATTTTGCAGAAAATCTGAGTATTAGAGCAAGCTACCTGGCTGTCAAAACCTAATTGTTTTTGCTTATAAATTCCTATTGAAAGTTGTTATGATGATGGCAGGACAACTGGTTCTGCAGCCTGGGCATGTTTCCCAAAAGCTGTAGCTGTAGATTGCAACATAGAGCCTAGAAACTGATTAGGTGAGATTTGCTCTTAAGGTTGACTGGGAAAATAGCCCTGGCAGGGGCAATGGAGCAAAGCGAAACTAAAATTCCATCTGGTGAAGCAACCAGTTAAGCCCTGCAAAGCTCCAGCATATAGATCACAAAACTTTAGCTTTGCTGAGCCAGAAGAAAATGTGCTTGGCTGCCCAAGGAGGAGTATGTAGGAGGAACAGAGCATGGTACCGTTGCTCAATCAGAGAAAGTGGCACACAGGGGAAGTTCTTGGGAGAACCTCATCCTGCCTAAGATCTAGAACACCTCTTAGTAAGATAAACATGTTGGAATTGGGTGTTTCCAGATGTGATTTTTCTGCAACAATCACCCTACATTAGTCACAGGATTTAATGGCAGGGAGACATTATCTTCCAACTCTAACCTTCCAGAGTTTATTTAGTGCTTATTTATCTTATTCTCTAATTGCAGAAAATCTGATAAGGATGGAAAGATAGAATAGCTGCACATGGTTTTTGACTGGTAATGTTAGGAATGCTAACTGGAACCATCGTTAGGAGCAAAAGATTAAATTGCAGTTCTGCCAAGAATTTGGAAGGTAATTCAGCTGTTATCTGTGGGCTTTTATTTGTTCTATATAAGTAGGAGTTTGTGGACTAACTTCCCCAAACTGCCTTATGAATACTCTTTGTAAACCCGTTTTTCTATATAAATGCTGATTATTCAGTCTAACTAACAAAGGTAATTATAATAAACAGGATTTTTGGGGCAAGCACATCCATCTAACAGGATCTTGCTGCAACTCACAAGACACTGAGCGGGACAAAAATGTTGGAAAAATAATCTGGTTCTCCTCATCCATCTTTCTCCCACCTCACACTCTCCAGTCAAGAGCCAAAATTCAGTCTCATCTCTGCACCCTTTTTCCCTGGAGTCTGCATGCTCCACATTTTACCTCTTTTTTTAAATCAGACTAGGTACCAATGGGGTTGAAGACAGAAGAAACAAATTGCCAGAAACAGTTTGAAGCAGCTGTCCAGGTCATTCAAGGCTTGCCCAGGAATGGTGAGAATCTCTTTGGGGATCCTCTCAAGTTACTTAGCTCACCTATCCCTCTAAGGGCTGACACCAAACACAAAACTCTCCAGGCTTCTCTGAATAGCCATAAAGAATAAGAAACCAGGTTTTTAAATTTAGAAAAACAAGCCAAAAAAGCATGTCATTCTCCCAAGTTTGAACACTATGTCTTCTGCAGAATTCTATAATTCTTTCATTGTTTATGCACAGCACCCAGTTTGGCAGAGACATGGTAGATATGGTAGAAGGATTTAAACAATAATGACTATTGGTTAATCTTCAAAAGAAGCAAATGTATAGTGACCCCTGGTTTGGCTTAAGCTGCCAGGCCGAAAACCACTGGATTTATGCGTTCATATCTTGACACCAATTGCCTCCCTATGAAATGCCTTAAAGAAAAGAATTTTGTGAACCTGGATTCAGCTGTTTTATTTCCAGTACTGTATTATGGCTGGAGACAGATTGGGGACCTTAGAAATGGAATCCTGGCATCAAATACCTGTTTTCATGCAGGATCCTGAACATCTCCCGCATTTCCTCAGGTTCCTATCGCCCTTCATATGAAGAAATGCTACGCTTCTACAGTTACTACAAGCAAGCAACAGTGGGTCAATGCCAGATCCCAAGGCCAGGATTTTGGGATCCTATTGGCAGGTATAAATGGTAAGAAAGCCAGTGCCAAATTCTCTCAGTACCAGATGAAATACGGTCTTTCCTGAGGCTTGTTTTGAGCTAAGAGGACTTTGTTCAAGTCCAGCCTCTGATGTTATTTCAATAACAGAATGCTGGAGCAGACACAATAACTGCTAACTAATGGACATACTAGTCCAGTATGAAACTGCTACTTTTGATTTATAAAGCCCTATAGATTTGGAGAATGAAATATTTGAGGCACTGCCACCCCCC